TAATATAATAACAATAATAATAATATCCGCAACGAAAACAAAAAAGGAGAAAAGGGACGAGTAAAAAGAGCCCACGGGAGAAAAGGGATAAAGGGATAAAGGGAACAAAGGGGGTGGGGTTGAGGGGCGAAAAGAGAACGATACTCAAAGGGAGTACCGTGTACAATCAATTCAGTGCTACTTAATTTATTCAGCATCTTTGTGACGTGCAAAGGCAATTAGATATTCATACCCCTGGGTTTTATTTTGTATTGAGAAAGAAAATTATACGGTTCCTGTGAACAGATAAACCAACAAGACAAAGAATAGATAGAATGAAATAATTTAAACAAAATAAACGGAACAAATAACAAGCGCAATAGCCACTCATATTACAATGACTAATCCAATACTTAAGTAACAACAGGCTGTTCTGTCATAACACAATATATTACAGTTTTGCATAAACCAAAAAAAACACAACAACTTGGGAAGCTCAGAGAGAAAACAAAACATTTTTTGTATTCCAGTCCTGAGGTAACAAAAACGAAGTTTTGTTGTCGCTGGGTCATGGCCCCTCCCTTTTCTCACTCGTCACAAAATATGTCCCCCAGGTTGCCAACACTTCTGCTGTGTCTGTCAGAACAACTTTAACTCTTCATATCACGTGTCATGACGCAAACTGTTCATAATCTGCCCCTAAAAATAAGTGGGTCATAGACAATACCGCAAGCATGACATCTGCCTGCCCTGGCGCCGTTCGTCTGTCTGGTCTGTCACAAACAACATATTTGTCATTAGTCAACAGTTACAAACGTTTCGTATTCATTTATTTACCTCCGAGAACTCGGATCGAATTTATTTTTTATTGATCGGTTATATACGGATGGGTGTCTGCGCTTTATGGAGTTTAAATGGCATATCTCACCTTTTGTATGGCTGATTCTCTTAACAAGTTGATTCTTTTTCGTTAAAAACGACAAGCCTCAGCGGGTTCATCGTCCACAAAGTTGGTTTTCTTTTTTGAAGTCCAAAGGATGATACGACAATGC